AGAAGAATTTCATGAAACAACATATGAGCAAGAGCCTATGGTGATGAAAGAAGAAGTTCAGGCTGCTTTGAAGGACATGGCCAAAAATAAGCCTCGAGGAATAGATGGTATACCAAGAAATACTTAGGGTAGTAAATTGATATGTTTGTGATGGATTTACCGTGAAGAATAAGAAAAAAGGAAGGGTCCAGTCTAAGGAAGTGGTGAGCCTGTGAAAGGTCAGTGGTGCCATTTTCTGATGTTGGCAAGAACAAAGGAATAACTGTGAAGAAAATTATGAGGTCAGCTTTAGAAATAATAATGGTTTGAAGTGACTTTGAAGCATCCATGTGAATGCACTTGGAGTATAAAATGTTTGATCTGGAAATAAAAATTAAGTCATCAGTATGGGCATTGTGAGACTGCCTAGAGAAAACATAAGTATAGTCAAAGCAGATGAGGAAGTCCTAACACCAATCTAGTTGTTGTTGCTGTTATGTACCGTCAAGTCAACTATGACTCATAGTCATCCTATGAACAAAATCTCTGAACCTTGCCCTATCCTGAGGCAATCATACCTGACCCCACTGCCACAGTCCCAGTATCAATCCATCTCATTTAGGGTCTTCCTCTTCTGTGCTGACCCTCCACCTTTCCAAGCCTGATGTCCTGCTCTAAGAACTGCCCCCTCCTTACAATTAGCCCAAATAATGTGAGGAGAGTCACCATTCTTGCCTCCAAAAAGCACACTGTTTTCACTCTTTCCAGAGCAGACTTGTTTGTTCTCTCAGCAGCCCACAGATGTTCAGTACTTTTCTCCAGCACCACAACTAAAACGCAGTGATACTTCTGGCATCCTTAGTCACTGTCCAGTTTCCTGATGCTCAGCAAGCATCAGCTTAAACCAGGTGTACCTTTCTTTAGATCAACATCATTGTTCTTATTCTCTCTGAAGAAGTCCTTGACAGATTTTCCCAAAGCAACTTGTCTTTTGCTTTCCTGATAGCTGGTGCCAAGAGTGTTGATTGTGGATCCAAGTAAGAAGAAATCATTAACAACTGCAATCTTTTCCTCATCTATCAAGATGCTACCTTTTGGGCCAATAGTAGGAATTTTGGCCTATCCAAAGGCAGGAAATTCAAATCTACCAGGTGCTTGTAATCTCCCATTACAATTAACTCAATAGCACATAACATTATATAAAGATAGGTAGGAGGGAGGTAGGTAGGTAGGTAGGTAGGTAGGTAGGTAGGTAGGTGATAGATAGATAGATAGATAGATAGATAGATAGATAGAAAGATAGAAAGATAGACAGAGAGATGTGTGTGTGTGTGTGTGTGTGTGTGTGTGTGTGTGTGTGTTGCATATATACAATTACATATATATTGACCTAAGAGTTAAGTGAAATGGCAAGTAAGAGGATGCCACAAGCATATCACATTAAAACTATTCTTTAAAAAGCCAACCCTCTAACAACTGTGAGATATCATCTCACCCCAGTCAGAACAGTAAGCAACAAATGCTGGCGAAGTTGTGGAGAAACTGGAACACTTATTCACTGTTGGTGGGAGTATAAAATGGCGCAACCATTGTGGAAGACAATATGGCACCTTCTCAAAAAGTTGCAAATAGAGATACGATTTGACCCAGCAATTCCACTACTAGGAATATACCCTGAAGAGACCATAGCTGACA